GGGGGGGGGGGGGGACTCAGGCCTCCTCTAATGCAATGCTAACGCTTACACAATGCTTTGCTGGATTCTTACCGCTTTCCAATATTTAACAAGTTGCCCACCATTCGCTGCAGAACCTCTTTGGCTGTGGCCACGCCATAGAATTCCTCCGTCACATGGTGCCCAATCAAGTATTCGCATTCTTTCACATTCAGCTGCCGCCCCTTCCCAAAAGCATCGATGTATGTGTAGTCAAATATATTGGTGCTCCTGGCAAAAGAAAAATGAAACCGAAGGCGAATTAGTGTACAGCACTTCTGATGCTAGACAGAACAGCGGACCCTCTTGCACAAGACAACGGGATTTCATCTGTTGGGTCGCAATAGCCTTGTTTTTACAACACAGAGAAAAGGGACAGATGACAGGCAAGCCAGAACCTTAGAACTACGCATGGACTGGGTTCATTCATACCTGCAGCAGCTGTCTGGTGAGGTGGTAACAATTTTAAGGAATTTTAAGGCCATTTTAAAAGGAAGTAATGGATGTCACGTGGCTCACATTCCCATTCCCACACATCAAAGCATCCAAAATTCGGGTTGTTTTTTTTGCACTGAGAGTGCTTAAGGATGGAAATTTGAGTGAACTGCTATTACACTGACCTTCAAGCAAGAAAAACAGCTGGAAGTTTATCAAAATTCAGCCGTTTTGAAATAATGAAATTCAACTGGCGAAGCCAAAATGCTTTAAAGTATGGTTTGTTGGCTGAGCCCCGGTAAACTATAAATCTCAGTTGCCCTCCCATGACTGGGTTCTCACATTATACAAAAGCAAAAAAAACGCTTGCAAAATACATTTCTGCTGACTTATGCAAATCTCTCGAGGTACCCTTGAAAAATAAATTTAAGGCTGGAGAATGACACACGACGTCGTTAAAAGAATCTTAACAAAGAAAACAGAGACAAGTATGTAGCTGGCACTGGGGTAAGCACTCAAGGCACCAGCAGGTTTACAACTTCAAAAACGGATCTCTCAACTATAAAAAACCAAGCCCCCATGAACCTGGGGGCAAGTGAGAGCTATTAAATAGATAACGCAAGTTATTTAAATGCATGCAACTGTTCTCCTTTAACGCTTGTTTCCATCTTGCCAGTTTTAGCCCGTTGCACAGACTGCAAGAGAAATGCAGGCACAATGCAAGAGCACGTAGCTTCCCCTCCATAGGGTGCTGCTCTCTGTCGGAGTTGCGTGCCACATATCTGAAATAACACCCCCAAAGTGTAATGGTCTGTGGGAATGACCTCAGGAGACAGGACAACCAGCATGTAGAAGATTTCTCAGCCCACAGGAGAGGGGACGTGGGAAGTTTCAGAAGAGACCCTCCCTAGTTTTCTGGAGAGTAAAAGGAAAGGAGAGGAGAAATATTTTCAGTCTTGCAAGATTCTGCTAATGTAACCTTACAATAAAGAAACTCAGAGCTGAGCTTCTTGTCTGGACCACCTTGCAGGGCTAACACAAAGCCCATCTCTTCATATAGCCCTTCAGGAGGCTGATCTGGAGCACCGTTTTGAGGTTTAAGTGGGTGTTTTGCAAAAGAAGAAATGGTGCACATGAGCCTCGGCCTCCTGCCATGACGTCGTACGGTGTGAAACGGCACCACTTAAACGCTAAAACAGAATCGATACAATGATGAAGGATCATGAGAGGCCTATGAGCAAAAGCTGTTTCACCCGCTGGAAATCTGCTTCTGTTCCTTCCAGACAGCTGTGCCCTCATCAGCCTGTAACATCGAGAGAGCTCTCCAAGAGTGGATTGATAGCTTTCTGTTCACACGCCAACCACTTTTCCTGGGGTTAATGAGACTGTAGTACAATGCTATTGATGACTGATTTCTCCACCGCTAAGTAACAGGGTCTTCTAATCAAGCACAACCAGTTTTCTTTTGCAGAAGAAAACACATTACCCCCCCTTTTTTTTTTTTAAACTATGACTTCATCATCTGGCAATGATTAACAAGAAAACTGCAACCTGGGAGGTTTAAATGTAGCGTTGCCTGAGATAGCTGTCACTCTCGCTCGCATGCCAGTTTGGAAAACTGGTTTCCCGGGAGGAATGCGCAGAAGCCAAGAGGAATGGGAAAATAAGCTTACCTTTCTCTTCCTTGGGACCACCTGAGCAGAAAGTGACTGGGAAAATTGACTGCCTCGAGCTGGACACCCAACTGCTTGGCAATCGTCAAATACAGCACCGACAAGCTGATTGGGATTCCAGTCCTGCGAATTAAAACCTGAAGGAAAGGGAGAAAAATGAGAAGTTTTGGCTGCTCCTTGGATCTGGAATTTTAAAAAACGCTGAAAAAAAGGGAAGATTTAGTCCCCAGAACTAGTACGCTTTGGAGAAACTGACTGCATAACTTTTGCGCCAATCGGTTTGAGGTTATATCAAACTGAACGAAACCCCAAACCAAAATATGGACTAAAAATATTGCTCAACCTTGTCTGGTCAAGAAGGCCTTACCTGATGGATGTATGAATTCTGAGAATTGTAATAATCCACCTCGTTTCCTCGGTATTTCAACTGCTCGTAGAGGACATAGTTCATGGCATCAAGAACCTGACTCTGAAGCTCCACCTGAGAGACTATCAAGACCTCTCCTTAAAAAAAAAAAAAAAGGCAATGAAAATAAGAGAAAGCATTGCTTATTTATTTCTACCCCATCTTTCTTCCAGTAGAGTTATCACTCCCTCCTCCAAGGCTGCAAAGCTAGTTGGGCTGAAAGAGAATGATGGGCCCCAGAAAGCAGGGAGTTTCCATGGCTGGAGATGGACTTGAACCTGGATCTCCCATTAGCCACAACACCTTAACCGCCACACCATACTGTCTCACTATTTATTTAAGCAAATAAATGCAACTGCTTATTAGTTTGATATTTCGCCTCTCCCTCTGGAGCTCAGCACGGACTATGTAACACTTCCTCTTCCTGTTTTTCCCCACAACCACCAGAGGACACACATTATGGACACACAATCAGAGGTGTGCAACCTGTGCCTCTTCAGGTGTTGCTGAATGACAACTCCCAACATGCTCTCCTGCTGGATCTACTGCTGCTGGAATCTGTAGTTCAGTCACATCTGTATTTCCAACTTCAGCAACTTCCGGATGTGTGGACTTCAGCTCCCAGAATTCTCAGCGATGACCGTGCTGGCTGGGGAACTCTGGGAGTTAAGTGCAAGTTGCCCAAATTACTGATCCACAGAGCCCGGGTTACCCATTTCTGGATTAAATGTATCAAGGAGTCAGGTCCAATATCTTTGGTCTTGATTGGCTACCACTGTTGATTTGGCAACTGTGGATGGGTTTCCTCTCCCAGAAAAGCAGGTCTGTCATAGAAACGGGTGACAAAAGGGAACTGAGTTAATGCCATACCTGCTTTTCGGTCCACACTTGGATGTCTGGGATTTTTGGATTTGAGAAATTCACAAACTTTAGCAACAATGTCATCGATCTGGGCCTGGATACCCTTGAGGGAGATCTCCGACAAAGGGTTACAGTATTGGTCGATCAGCACAGCTCCTAGGAAAAGCCAGGAGAGATGCAGGACGTGGGTTTGGATGGTAGATAGGCTACAACCCTAAGCAGAAACATCATTTGACACCAAATGATAGAAACACCAAGCAGACAGGGGCCATTTAGGTAAAGGCCCCACTCAGTGCACAAATTCAGATTAGAGCAGTGTTTCTCAACCTCAGCAACTTTAAGATGTCTGGACTTCGACTCCCAGAATTCCCCAGACAACTTAAAGTTGCTGAGGTTGAGAAACACTGAATTGGAGCAATGCTGAGTTGGATGCCCAACCTCAGCGTGAAGATATTTAGCGTTCAAAGGGATATATAGCTACCTTATAGCATGGTTTTCACTGAAGGACTTCTACTTCTCCTTTTTACTACTTTTCTTTGAGATTTCTTTCTACTTCAGTTTCACAATCATCTACCCTAATCTCCCATTCCTTTAAACAACTCTTCTGATTCCACTTAATTTGTCCACTGTCTTAATTTGTCACAGGACTTCAAGCTGCTTGCCCTCCCCACCAAAAATGAATGCTATCCCCTCTAATAGCAAACTCAGGTGACAAAAAGTCTGGAGGTTTTGAAATAAAACAGAACTGTCTGAAGCGGGAGGCAGTGTCGTGCTCAGACACTCCCTAAATATTCAGCATATAAAAGGTAAGGGCTCCCACAAGTCAAGTTTGTGGGAGCCCCTATCTTTTACATTCACATATTCTTCAGCTACAGATGAAAGTGGGTTGCCACTAATCCCCCAATATTTACCCACTCTTGCCTAGCAGTGCTTATGCCTTTGTCAAACAGCCCCTTAGCCAGAATTTGGCCAGCTTTAAACCAGGTACTATGGAGGTGGGCAATCTTTGGCTCCAGAGTAAATGAGACCCTAGATCTCCTTTCCTTATAGCCCTAACTAACCTCCTCTGAACCTAACTGCTGAAAACAGTAACAATAATGATAATATTCTGTATTATTCTTTTAGCTCACATTTTATGTTTGGTCCTCCTCTTTTACTTTTAAACAGTTTGTTAATTGTTTCATTCTATACTGGTCTTTGACTGAAATAAAGTTTGACTGGCTGCTGAAAATGGGTGGCGTGGTTTTCTACAGGAACACTGCAGCGTAAGCTCTAAAATGGACTGAAAGTAGTTTTGCAACCAGACTCCCTCCCAGATCCCCTCTCCAAAAAGAAATCTAGGCCCTGCTTATTTGTAATCACTTTGCCCGCTGAAGCCCTGAGACTCCTCCCAAATCCCAGCTACTGAAAGATTGCCCAACTTTATTAGACATTAACAGACATTAGACATTAGGACAAAGCGGAAAGAGCCTAACACAGAAAAACAAATTAGTGTGCACATAACTGAGACCTTTTACCTTCAGATAAACGCAGAACACATTGAGTCTGAGAGGCAATATTTGAGCCCAAGAGGAGAACTTGGTTTTTTTTCTTGATCGCACACCTGAGATTAGGCTATGGATCAATCACGGTTTGCTCACCACTTCTGTTAATGAAGTTTTCAGGCACACAAGAATTTGTGGAGCTTTGTGGAGTCACTTTCAAAATCAATTATTCCATGTTATCCTTTCTGGGCCATTACCAACCTTCCAAAAAGGACTGCTCATCTGCTGAGTACTGAAGGTATGTCTTCAGTTTCTTTAAAATGTTCTGTTGCCGCAGAAAGTAAAGAATTTTCTTTGCATAGTACTTCCACGTCAGCCCTTTCCTGCAGGGTAAAGGAAGCCACCGTGGTGAATATTTCTTGGCAACCCCCAGAAGAACAGAAAACAGACTATGATTGCAAAGAGGAAGTCCTGAATGAATGTTTAAAAGAGATTTCAGGCAAGAGACAGCAGGGAGAACCAAGAGCCCAGAGGGAAAAGCAGGATTTTATTAAAGGTGTTATTACCTTGTTTATAAAGGTAATGTTGTCCTTAATTCATGATATCACCTCTGCGGTAGGAAACTTACAAGAATTACAGTTGAGTTTCAAAACAATTCCAACCCTGAAAACTTGGGAGCTATAAATATAGGCAAAAAGTTTCCATTGAGACATCCAATCTGGAGGTGGTTAGATCCAATCTCCAAACTGAATCCTCTTTTGGAGTCAGAGGATCTGGATCACATCACTGAATAAACAGGATGCCTTCAAATCAATTCATTCATTCAACATTATTTTAAAATCAGAGCAGAAAGTGGAATCAACCAAAATTCTAAAATTCCATTTAGACTGCAGGGCTGATCCATACAGAATCCAAAATCAGAATATAGCTGATCTGCACACCCCTAATATATATTTATTTCCTAAAGAAGCAACAGGATTCTAAACATGTTCAGGGAAACAATTTTGCTTTGTGAAAAGAAAGAGCAAAGACTGTAGTAAAGAGGTAATCGAGACCCTTCCTGCTTCATAAAGATGTGCGAAGCCTTTGCAAAGATTCAAATGGTTTTAATTTTATTTAATTAAAAAACCTCATCAATATAGAAAGTTAACCTGCAGAACTGGAAAATGACATAAGTGCAAAAACGCTGTCCATTTAAAATTCTGTGAAACCTTTAGAAAGAACGTGTATTTTAGATAAAACAATTCATAACCAGTCCACACCCCACATTCCAATCATAATAAAAAGTTTATGAAACCTTTTTCATAAAATTAAAAATAGCCTGCTTAACAAAAGGGCTGTTCAATTAAATAAACTTTAGCAGATAACCCAGCTGAGTTTTAGTCCATAAAATCTACTTGTGAAAGCAGGTTCTTTTTGTATGAAGTCTTGCAGGAAATCTAAGATGATGTCTACAGCAAACACCATATAAAAACAACCCATTTTCTCTTTTTCTCACAAATTGGATGGAACAGTTCTCGTGGAGATTTTAATTCTTAATTAATTCTTAATTTTTTTAAGGTGTGTGATGATTTTTCAGTTGAACGTACCTCAAAGGCTTGTTGGGAAGATAACAGATGGAGAAGGAATCTTAGGTAGCCTGGCCCCGAGCTCTTCGGGAAACAGGCAGGACACAAATGTAATTTGAAAATAAAATGTAAAGTTGACGTGTCTACTATGCACACCGAAAAAGCCACCAAATGTTCTTTCCTAGAGTTTTAGAATCAGCCTCACCTGTCTCCTGTGTTAAGAATGGACATCAGCTCATCCTCAAAGAAATGGCTTGGGCAATCAAGAGTCTCGACATCAGTGAAGCCATCGCAGGGCACCTAATGGAAGAACAGGCCAATTATTTTACTGCTAAACAGCTTTCTACAACAACCCCAGGAATAATCAGATACAATTTCATATTTAGCTTTTGGATTAGTTCGTTTTTAAAAGAAAACCCGTTGAACAAGATGATTGCAGGACACAAAGCACCATTGCAGATTTGACTTCTCCAAGCCCCAACAAAACCAGCTGAGAGTTTGAAGCAAACCTGCCCAAATTATTGCTGGGGAGGGGGCAGAGTTTCCATGGCTTGAGGGGGCTCAAATTGAGAAAGCACTTTTACTATGATTCATAGGCCATATGCCTGTTTTCAAAAAAATGACATGTGATTATTATTAGATTTGATATCCAGGAACTCAAGGCAGCAATCTCCATTTTATCCCCAGATGTAATGGTCTGTGGGAATGACCTTGGGAGACAGGAAGAGCTGCAACCTGGACAATGGTCTGATAAACGAAATCTGAGTCCGAAGGAGGGATGGGAGTGGAGGAAGCATTTCAGAAGTTTCAAGCTTTCAGGAGAGTAAAAGGAAGGGGGAGGAGAAGTGCTTTCAGATTGCAAGATTCTGTTACTGGTACAATAAAGGTCGTGCGTACTCATGGTTGGTGCTTCTTGTCTGGACTCCCTCAAAGGGCTGGCTTTGCAACGACTACCTTGTGAAAGTAACTGGGCAGAGAGAGGGGAACCAGGAAACCAGCTGAAGGGCTCCCCAGTCCTACTCCAACCCTTCATCACTGGACACGCTGGCTCAGAATATGCCCCCCAAATTCTGTCAGGAGAAAGTACCAAATTGCAGTGGAGAGATCCAGGTGGAGATACCTTTAACAAAAAATGTTATGACTCATTTTTTTGCTCAGGGTTTGAGGAAGGTGGGAGCCTCCATGAGCTACTCTTACAAGAGCATTCTTGCCCATTTCCCTTTCGGTTGGGGAAGTCTCCCTGGTTTTTAAGGTGGGAAGCCAAGGGAAAGGCAGGAATGGCCCGTTCTATAACAGGGTTTAAACTTTAAGCCACCCATTTGGATTTACATGCAGAATTTGTAGAACAGTAATAACAATATTTACTATTTAAGTATTATTAGATTTTTATCTTGCCTTTTCTAAATATATAACTTGGTGGCAATCTTGGCCCAGCCTCTCCCTCCCAGCCCTAGGAAGGAGGAGGCCAGGGCAAACCTCTTTTGAAAACCTTGCCAAGAAAATTGCAGGGCCTTGTTCAGGCAGTTGCCAGGAGTCAGGACGGACTCAAAGGCGCGCACACACGCACACACGCACACAAGGTGGCAAACCTACTTAATACATCTGCCTCCTATTGTCCCACAACTGTGAGGTAGGTTGGGCTGAGAATGCGACTGGCCCAAAGTCACCCAGCCAGCTTTCATGGCTAAGAAAGGCCTAGAACTCAGTTTCCTAGTTTCTAGGCCAGCACCTTCACCACTACACCAAACTGGCGCGCGCACACACACACACATATACAATTATTATTGTTGGTCACACAAGTCAGCCCAATGTTTAGACTGGATCTGGCATTTTTGTCCACGTATCGAGTCCTTCCCAAGGACCTGGGATAGGCAGATGTTGTTTGATGGCGTTAAAGGTATCGTTGCAAGATGTGAGCTGTTCCAAGTCAAGCTGCCTTTTGCAATGGACTGATGGTGATTTTGTCAATGCCGATGGTGTTCAAGTGGTGCTCCAGATGTTTTGGGATTGCGCCCAAGGCGCCTGTTACTATTGGGACTATCTTTGCTTTCAAGGGAGGCCTAGAACTCAGTCTCCTGGTTTCTAGGCCAGCATCTTAACCACTACACCAAACTGGCTCTCAGGAAAGATGTATTTGTAATAGTAATATTTACTATTTAAGGAACAGTAAATATTTAACTAGACAGATTTTAAGAATATGCCCCATACATAATCAAGCTGCCGGGGCAACAGACTCGCATTATATCTCATTACACATTATTTCAGAATCCTGTTAGTTATATATGTACTCTCAAGCAATTTCACAGGTGTGAAGCACTCTATCAAGGGTCAGGATTTGAGACATTTACTATCACATACTGGAAGCCAGAAAAAAAAGGTAATCCCCCCCCCCCAAAAAACACAGGCAGAAAAACAAAAAGGCAATCTGGTTCTTTCGTATAAACAAGTAACAATACATTGGATTTATTTGCAAGATCAGCCAGAAAACTCTTACGTGCTCTGAAAAGAACCTTTTGGAAAATGAGGCGACGATCCTTTGAGCTTTCAAGCCTGCTTTCTCCCGTTCTTTGTATTCTTCTAGCCAATTCACACTATCTGTCTGATTATAGTACTTCATTAAAGCAGGCCACCTACGTCAGAGAAAGACATACCGTATGAAAATTCACGCCCCGTCGTCACAATTAGTTCACAATCTGAACGAGAGCCTAACATTTGGCCAGACAAAACCAAGGCTGTGCTTTGTTTGCAGGTTAAGGGGAAAAAATTCATTTTTACCCCTTTTAACTTATTTTAGATCTGCTGCAGAGACATTTATTTTTTAATTAAACAAAACTATCTATCTATGAACGTGACAGTGGAGAGTCCACTGAAAGGGGAAGAAGGATGGGGAAATTTTCAAAGCTGGCTGCTGATCCTGAACAAATGGCTTAGTATGGAAACAATCATCTTCCACTCAGCTCAGCAGAGCTGTTATTTTCAGCATCCGAATCAGCAACAGACCCACCACGTCCTCCTCAGTGACAGAACCTTCTAATTAGATAAAATAAACAGCTTAATGACATTATTTTGGTGCAGTCAGATTCAGCCACCAGTTCCTTCTTCCTTTCCCACCAGCTAGGAAGGCCATTCATCCAGAAGTGCACTGATGCCTAAAAGCCACTATAATGGGTAAGTCAAAGGGAAAGGAGGGCCAAGAAAGGAAGGAAGGAAGGAAATACTTCGATAGATTCTCTCCTCTCCCTCTTTTTTTTTTTTTAATTATGTCTATTATATTGGAATAGTTAGGAAATAAATGGATGCATATGCCAAGTATTTCCATTCTCCAAGAAAGGGGGTGAGGAGAATCAAAGTCACCTTCTCCTACACCTTACATACAATCCCTATCCAGTGCAAACCACATCACGATACATACAGAAGACTGCAAGGATGCCACACATATATATATTTTTTTTACTTTTTAGTTCAGGACATTTACCGACATCGCTTTCTTTCACTGCTGGAGAGCAAAGTACAACTTGCAAGCGTTTGCATTCACACTTGCACAGTCCGTAATGACAAGACAGCTGGAAAGAGATACATGTGAATTTCTGTCCCTGGCTTCTTCCTGGGAGAAGGCGAAGTCTGCAGGCTGCCTGGCTTTGTTCATGTCTTGGCAGAGGAAGACAAGCTCTTTCTCTTTTCCCAACTGCCAGTTGGCTTGCAAAACTCAGACTGAACCGTTCAAAGGAAGCAGATATTCCGTCTGCACCTGCAGAAGAGGCTGAACAATCGGCGAGTTCAGCAAGCTAAAAATCTGGGTTTGCTTCCAAGCTGTGTCTGCGATGCAGAGATCAGCTTTAGCACGCCAGCAGCCAAATTGGACCATCCAAAGATTCGGATCCAACTGTGTGGGCTAGCGGTAAGAGAGGCCTGTTTTCCAAAAGCAGCCATTTCTTTGAATGTGAAACTTTCTGGCAGGCGAAGAGTTATTGACCCTGTTCCTCTGGGCCAGGCTCCATTTTAAGTAATTACATCTGAGGGCTTTAAATCCTCTATTGCAAAATTCAGCTGGAGGAATTATTCTTTCCTTGCTGTCCTAAAATAAACAGTTGCAATAATAATGTGACAGTGTGTGACCATATTCCAGGGAAAGAGTCATTTGGCACGCTCTGGCCTCTGCACGACTAAATTCATCGATCACAGAAAAGGAACTACATAAAGCAGGGATGAAAGCGAACAGATACAGAAAACTGATATAATATTTGGGAATGGCAAAGCAGGCTGTTGGATGTGTCCCTCACAAACGCTGCCAGATAGTAAAATAAAATATTTTTTAAAAAATGAAGTTTAACATAAGCAAGGGCAACCCAGTGCCTATTGAAGAGGATGGGCTTTTCAACCAGAGTTTGCACGGGTGGCAACTCACCAGGAAGAGATTTTGAAATCACAGAGAACACAGCTCAGTAAATGATCATCCAGTGTGGAATAACTAAGAGGAGGAGGATGCAAGGGATTTTTTTAAAAAAATGGCTGGAGGGGGGTAATGCTGGAGTTCCCGTGGCATCTGTCTTGGCCGGGGGGGGGGGGGTTCAATGTCCAAGTGCCCTCACGGAGTGGACCCGGGGACGTGTGGGACATCACGCACCCCAGACGCCTTCCAGTGGAGGAAATTAG